TTTATGCATTTCGTCATGCCTCGTCTCCACGTCATCTGCTGGCCTCCATGTGGTTTTCTCCAGTCTGCAGCGGCCACTGCAAATCAAACGCGGTGCGGCAGGCGATCGATGGATATAGGCAAAACGTGTTCTAGCCAACGGAGCTTAATGAGCTGAATTCGACGCGACAGCGAATTCGTGTTCGTGCTTGAGACGTTCCCAAAGACCTGGCGACTTAACTCCAGATTAATAGCCCACTCATCCCATCCCACCTGCATCACACTACGTAGGCACTGATTGTGGAAAACTATTAGGCGGCGGATATACCCGCGAATCCAAGGTCTCACAAACGTAAAGCAGAACTGGTCGTACAGTGGCGCAGTATACGCGACTTCTTAACTTCAGTGAAACGCCACTTGGTCTCCAGCATACTAGTTCGGCGCACGCTGCTCGAGCCTTGGATACACGTACGGTTACCTCCGTTGATGCGATACCGTCGTTGGTTACACACAAGAAGCAGTCAACCTCAGCTGATTCCAGAATCGGGAATGGGCAATACCCAGTCTGGCAGTATTACTTCGCAATTTGAAGGTGAAGAGCCCATGCCGAACGGAGAAACAGAACTCGTTAGCCTGTCAAGTGCGGTTTACACATCCTCCATACAGACGTCATCAGTGTATCCTGGGTTGCACAGCTTTTCTCTAGCTGTCCATTAAATTCCAGCATTTTGAAGGAAACTTAATGCGTTTTCCAGTATTTTGTCTACGAGGACGAAATCGAATAGGAATGACGAAATAAAGCATTCTTGACGAACATCACTGCTAGTTTCAAGCAACTTACTCATGTTGCCGTAAACCCTTACCAGAAGCATGCGAGTAGAGCAGCCTTACTGCATACTTCTGTGGCATTCCCTTAAGAAGGGAATCTATAAGAACTTCGCGGTTAACTGGGTCGAAGGCTCCTTTTAGGTCACGAGACAATGCGATCGTTGGTTGATGTAGCTTGAGGACTTTATGCAGCGTGAGGATTTGACCGATACAACTGCAACCTAGACGAAATCCTGTTTGTTGGTCACGGATAATTGTCTCCCTAAAGAGGGTCAGACGTCGAAGTAAGACGGAGGCTAATACTTTAGTAACGGCTGGGATCACACTTATTTCGCTGTGGTTTACAAAAATGTGGTGAGATCCCTCCTCGAAAATTGGAACCATCAGTGATTCGCTCCAGGATGGTGGAATGCACTCTTCAAACCAGAGGTTACGCAGTAAGTCACTAGTGTAATCTGCGAGGTCATCTCCCCTCCCATCCATTTTGAAAAGAGTGGGATGAAGCCCGTCAGGTCCTGCCGTTTTTCCATAGAATACCTGTGGTACTTCTGCAGCTTCAATATAGATGATTATTGCGTAGAGCAGTCATATCGCTTCAAGACCCCAAAACACTTTTTAGACAAACTCTCACCATCATCGTACAACGAAGTACAGTGAAGCGAACTACATTGATCGCTGCTAAACTCGCAATGCATACAAGGTTAGTGGTAAAATTTAAGGTGGCCAGGGATTGGACCAACTTTGAGAGAGGAAGAAGAAGGTAAACCTCTATGGTCAACACACAGAGTACACAATCGAACTCTGCATACATAGCGTTTCAAGCGTTCTGGCCTGATAAAAATGACAAGAACGCCACTGATGTCGGTTCGCTGCCATATCCTTTATTATCTCCAACCAACCAGTTGCGGGGCCTTTCGGAACCCAACCTGGAAGGCGTGTGACACCTACTCTACTTAATGGCTTTGTGCATCTCTTTATGCCTCATCTCCACGTCACCTGTTGACCTCCAGCATGGAGCGGCTACAGCGAATAAGGCGCGATGTGGTAGACGGTAGCTGGGAATACGCAATACGTGCCCTAGTCAGCGAAGTCTACTAATCTGAATTCGATGTGCTAGCAGGTTTATACCTGATGGACCTTCAACCATACGACGGCTTACTTCCATATTACTAACCCGTTTGCTCCAGCCCACGTGGGCTTGACAAAAGCCATCCTGTGCAGCTCGTTGGGTCAGGGAGGTGCACAAGCCATCACACTATGTCAAGGTGCAGTCTCTCTCTATAAGATTCTGAGTCACCTCATTGTCGATGGACACCTATTCCTGTTTTAGGTGAGCCTCCAGATGGGCCTTCAATTCATTTATTCATGCACAACTATATAGCCCTTGGGTGGAAACAACCCAAGTATTTTCTACCGAGTACAGACTTGAGTTTCATACAGTAAACAATCGGTTGAATATCGATGAAGAATAACGATTCTGGTCAGGTATGGGTTGTGAACTGCGACGTCAACCTGTAACGATACAGCTACTCCGTGATTATGCAACGCTATCAGCGGTAGTCAGTGGTAGCACAATTACCAAGAGAGGTAAATCCAGGACCTGCTGTTTATTCATGATAGCCAGCCGTCTAAGCCCTGACACTGGATGTGGTAAACTGGAGGACGGCGAAGATGCCTACAACCACAGTTAGTTGGCGACGCTAAGACTGCAACTTCGAACCTTAAAGCCCAGAACACACTGGCTATCAGTGAATTCAGTTGCCAGACCACGATCACACAATGGAAGAACGATGATCTAGGCAGAGAGTATAATCTCTGTTATAAACACATTTTCAAAAATAGACAACAAGAAAACACTAATCCAGTGAATCTTACAAACAAACAATCTTTAAACAGATGCGTGCCGAAATCAAGTGCTAAACTAACCTGGTTCTTCGTGCGTGTGCTCTTGTTCACGTATCTCATGCTCCTCTTCGGCCGTTCGAGTTTGCTCACTGGCTTGCTGGTCGAACGTTTCATCCGAATGCTCACTAGATTCTTCTAGCTGGTTTTCCGGAATCGTATCAGCATTCTGCTGGGTCTCGTTTGGTACAGCATTTTTGGATGCTTCCAACAGTTCAGCCTCTTGCCTTAATTTTTCCTCAGCAGCTTTGGCTGCAGCTATGCGCTCCTCTTCTTGACGTTGTTTGAGCTGTCAATGAAATAGAGGATGCGAAGTAGATGAACAACTGTAGCCAATGAAAACTATCCCCGTTCGTCAAGCAGTCAAGGTAGCCCACTTGTTGCCCCAGAAAACGTGGTCAAACCCCATGACATCCGTCACCTAACGTACCCCCTTTTTCTAAGTATGACAGCCCTTGGACAGACCGTGTAACCCTGAGAAGGATTTACATCGTTAGATGTTCAATAAAGGGAGTAAAAGATAGAGAGATATATTTATTGTTCGGAAGAGGATTTATGAGGTATATCAGTATGGTGGTATGCCGCATTGTTACCGTCCGGTTCAATACCCCACCTAACCTATCGGGGCTTTATGTGGTTCGCCACTTTGCGTCCCGGGAATTAGGTTACCGGTGTCCATCACTGAACAGCAGGTCCTCGTGACTATGGGGCTTTCCCCGTCTGCTGTTCATCACGCGAAAATGTGTAGTATAAAATATCACATGGAGGTGGTACAATTCCCCGAAGCTCCGGTTCTACAATTAGTTCGAATGCTTTTATAGTGCTCACGTAAATTGAATAATGGTAGTCAGTAACCATGAATGAATTGCAGTTCGGGCGACAAGAGGACAACTTCAACAACAACAACAACAAACTAATACTCACGGTTTGTATGTATTCTTTGTAAATTTTATGTCCTTCATTGATTCCTTTCTCTTTAATTTCGCGCGCTTGTTGATATGCTTCCGCTAGAACGCTGAAATTGGACAGAATTAGAACAGCATCATGAAGAGTTAAAATAATGATAACCATTAGAATTTGTATACTCTCACTCCAGGTCTTAATCTTCCACCGGTTACCCGAAAAGCAAGCACCACGTGCCAAAGAAGGCTATCTAGTGACACGTCGAATACCTTCCAATCACTACAATCTTCGAAGATCAACTATTCGAGTATGTGCGTGCCCGTGATCGGCTAATACTGGGGAGGATTTTGACACAATGGATAGTATCCAGAACGATTGAGCGAAATCGGAAACAAAGTGGCGTTCTTTGGGAGCTGTTTTACAACTCAGCCGCCCAGGTCGCAATAGAAGATAAGTTAACGGTACGATGTCTGGCGTTTTTATTCTAGGTTGCACCTTTAGCTTTGGCACAAAAGTGCAGGCAGTAGTAAAACTATGCGATGCATTCACCTCTCTCCAGCAATATCATGGCGGATAGAGGAAACATGACGGCTTGAGGACAAGCAAGGCGCCAACGAAACAACAAGGATTAGATGTATTAAAGGGTAAATGACCGAGAATACCTATCGCTCTGTTTTGTCGGCCTGTTTATCACTGAATCTAAGCCCACGAGATGTTCCCCGGTGATTTCAGTCAAAGGAAAATTGCAAAATAGCGCGGGCGTTTATTGAAAACGCCAGAAACCTGCGTTAAATAATGTTGAAGTATGACGTATGTGTACGGTTGCACATAGACTATATTTTGCCGAATGGAGAACACAAGAGCACCGATGTAGTGACTAGACCAATCAGATCGTAGTCTTTTGTGTTACCTTGGTTTCCGCTGACCCACTAAAACCGCTGATTCCGACAGAATTTGGAAGGTTTTCGCTGATAAATTCAGTTCGTACACATGAGGACAAGCGACGGGTCTACTCTGAGAAGGACGAGAAGTAAGGTCTTGTATGAATAACCTTTAAACTTCGCTAAATACTATTTTCCCAACAATTAGTATTACTGTGAACCTAAAACAGATGGGTTCCACAAGATGTGAATGACAAAAGTGCTTAGCCAAAGATAGATTTCATGCATGCCCAACATGCAGGAGTTCAAGCAACACATAACAATTGATCAATTGAGTTGTCTCAGAAATCAAGTCATACTAACGTCACAGATAGAGATATTTGTCTCGAATTAAAATTCCCCACAATTGCCTTGTTCTATTTGCGTCCCTTAATTTCAGGATCACCTTGTTTTAAGCTTTTTGTCTTCACCTATCGATATACCTATGACGAATCACAATTGAAACACAAAAGAATACCAAAGCACCGGTTACTTCACAAAAAAGACGACTTACGAGCAAGTGGATATGTGTTGTGTCCGACCATCATACTCATCACTTCCATCACAACAATCTGAAACGGTCAACAGTTGAAGGGGATGAAATGTATTTTGAGTTCACAAGCTAGTCTAGCAGAATCAAGCACAGAATGACAATGTTTTACTTGCTTAAACTACACAAAGTGATAGCAATAAAGGTAGCTCAAACTGTGCCCGTTTGATAAGGCATACGTAATGAACCCTTGCGACTATAATGCACAAACACGTTTTTTGGAAGGTGTTATGGTGGATTTTTTTATGCTGCTAAGCAAATCACGGTAAAAGAATCTTTTAAGAATAAGAATATGGCAAGTGAATGTGAAAAATAAGCAACGGACAGCACAAATCCTCGAAGCACTTACACACGCCTGAATTCAAACTGCGTGGCAAACAAATCACGATACAATAATCTTTTTGAAAAGAAAACTTTACATGGTTTGCACTTGGGTACAATACTGCTAGGCTACCCAGGCCAAAGTAGATGAGGGTATTCACAATCGGGGAATTCGACTAGCGAAAGCACGACCTGCCAGGCAGTGTGGTGGTGTGTGAAAATCGCGATGCATTGGGGACCGGTGTGAAGTTTATTGAATCACACCCTTTGGATAGGTGCCACACTTCGATGTCAAATCGAGCCCGTGTCTAATAGCACAACCAGAACGGGGTGCGTGGGTGTGGTTCGTACACCTTTTCTTGGTTGGTTTGAAATCAGGGTTTTTAACCAATTTCCCTAAGTTAACTGTCAGTGTAGCACCAGTTCAGTTAGGTTCAGTTTGTACAACCATTAGCCTTGCACTTTCGTGCGCCGGTTTTGGTTGCTGTCTTTCGGCCGCTCATTTGGATGAACATCAGGATAAAGACATTAAGGTTGAAAGTGGAAACGAATAGAAAATGGAGAATTTCAGTAGCAAAGAAATTTAAAAGATGCACGAACACCACTGTTTACGAAATTCAGCGATATTACTCAGTGCCTTCAACCATCGGTTACGATCATCCCGAGGTCCCCAATCAGGGAGCCCAACGGGACCTATGTGATTCAGACTCCTGGTTAGGGTTTTCATACCCTCATGCCAGGTCTTAGGTTGACGACCCTGGGCTTTATTCCACCCGCTACCTGCCTCAGCGAACATCACTCGTCGTGGCAACCTATTTGGTGATATGCGCAACACATGTCCCAACCAACGTAATCTATGGAGGTCGACCACTTGCTCCAGTGGACGACCGCGACTACCTAAAACTTTTCGCCTAACCTCAGCATTGCTCGTCCGGCTGCCCCACCAGATTCGTACAATACTGCCTAGACAGAGGTGTTCAAACACCGACAGTCTATCTTTGTCCTCTTTTCTTAATGGCCAAGTTTCCGCTCCGTATAGCAGAACTGGCCGAACTGCTGCAGCATACACTCGACCCTTCACAGTCGACCGGATATCGCGACGGCGCCACAGATGTCTCAAGTTAGCAAATGTCAACCGAGCCTTCTGTGTGCGCGCCGACACTTCATCCGTGATGTGTCCACCGGGTGAGATGTAGCTGTCTAAATAACAAACCTTAGCCACTTGCTCTATTACTCCCCCGGTGCCGTAAGCTCGGACTCGGCTATTAGTATAAAAGGATCGTAATATTGAAATAAACTTCCAAATTTTTCTGATTTTTCAGTTACATTCTCCGCAAACAGAAAATAAGAGACCATCAAGGATGCGGGACCATTGGGCGCCAGCCTCAAGAGTGACTTTAAGACGTGATACCGCACCTCATTCTGCCTTCCAGAAAAACCTATTGACTAACACTTTGAAAGCCACAAGATCAGCCAACAACACATCTATCCGGAGGCACGATTAGCCTGGGCCACACATCGGGCGGTGCCAGCTGAACCGAATTGATAGTGGAAACGCAAAAGTGTAAGAATCGAAATAGATTAAAAAAATCAATTAAAGCAATACAAGAATAACCAAGGGATGATTTGCACTGGAAACTTAACTTTTCTACGCTCAAATAATTTAACCACTTCTCCGAGATGAAAACCAAAGCTATTTTCTGACTCACCAACAACTTCATCATTTACAAAACCTGAAGGAATGGAGATCACTTTATATTGTACATCCCGGCAGAAAAACCGGCCGTTTTGACACGCACTCGTCCCAGGTTCGTCGGAACCATCAGGGCAATCACAGTAATCATCATTCACTTTTGACCACGGTAATGATAGCGAATTACTGATACATCTGAAATTTTCGCCCACATTATACGCCGAGAGAGCTGTTCAGAGTCAAAATATTCAATTAACAAGAATTACCTGATAAAGGCACACCCAGAGGGACCTCCGCACTATTCAAACCCCTAACGAGAAAAAATAACAAGCCAACAGCAAACATCCACATAGGTGTAGCGTTCAAATCAAATCGGCGCATTCAAATTCAGGTCAGGTCAGATCAGATCAGGCCAGGTGGCACAGGACTGTATATGACCACAGCCAATCGAGCGTCCAGAATTCTTTCGATGGTATGGGCACCCAGCACTGCTGAAATAAGAATGAGAAATAAAATCTCATCTCACCAAGTTCGCGAGTTCAGTTGTCTTGAAGTCTTGAAGTGATTCACGGGTTCGAGGCTGTTGCCCAAATGTCCCGGGTCCTTGAAAGGTATCTGTGTTTTCTTTTNTTGGTTTGAATTACCTCTAGAACAGAGAGTACTGAAAAGGGATTAGTAGGGTTCCCCGCTCGAGGCGAGAAATAAAATGAAGACTTGCGAACTCTTATATAATGCAAAATGTTTTTTTTCTTTTTATTGGGGAGGAGTAGATAAACCTAAGTGGCGGTCAAGACGAAGTTTAAAGACCGCCTTGCTGGGAGCGCTGACTATCTCTTCTGGAAGGCCATTCCATAAGGATATCACCCGGAAGTTAAAAAATGAAGTACGTAGAGTGGTTCTCGCACGGGGCTTTAAGATTTTTTTGCTGTGCCCTCGGGTAGCCTGAGAGTCAGCAATGACAAAAAAGGTTTCGACAGTGCCCGTGTCGAAGAGATGG